CTCATTTTTCATGTTAATGGTGTTCTGCTCATAGACCAGAATTTATTGGAAGACTACTCAACCCAAACTTCAAGAGGAACCTAAACTGATAGAGTGCGTAACTTGCGCAGGGATTCTTTTCTTTCCAAAGTCTATGCTTATATAAGCAGCAGTGACGATACAATGGGAGCCGGAATATGGTGAGAAGTGTCAGTCGTGTGACGCTATCACCGACGTTGGTTCTCGGTGATAGAATGACCTGTAAAACTAGAGCCTTCTCATTCTTGACACTTCTTAAGTACATTCAGAAAATCGCCGTCTGTTGTACCGAAAATGCTATGGACAAAAGCCGTGCTTGGCGACCGCCTTTGCAGATCCGCTTGCCGAAAACCCGTACCTGCATGCTAGCGATGCGATCACGGACTAACCATATATAAAAGCCGTCTTTTGTCGGCTAATTCCACATCCTCCAACTTGATCCACTTCAGTTTTCGAGTTCTTTAACGAACTACACGGATATTCCGCGCTCTCAGCTAATTTATCGTTAAGCTACCTTTCTCTGGGAACCTGTGGAAGGGTTCTGTTTGTTTTTTTTTGCCCTGGATAGTTCGGTTCAGCTTGGCCAAAAATCATCTCTGACTACTCGCATTAGTTGCGACATTAAGCCCATAACACCTTTACTTCATTGCTTTGCAAAAGCTAAAAATCGAAAAATAACAATCTGCAACCTGCCACCTGTTTATCTTTTCCACTGAACAGAGCCTCGGGTCCCTTCCAATTTGGCGGGGCAGTTCGGCAATGGGCGATGGGAGGCCGGAGGGGGGGGAGGGAGCATTTTGCAACTTTCTCTACTTCCCATCGACGAGTCGACCCAACTAGAGAGCCTTTTTTTGAGCTGACAGGTTTTACCATGTTGGCTCGACTACCTTGCTCCAGCTTCACAAGAGTTCACAGGTTTCACCAGAGTGAGACTTTGTAAATAATTTTTAACTATGTGAAGCAATGGAATTGTGCGGAATGCCCCCCCCCCCCTCCATTCGCAACTGCAGCCCACTTTTCTGTAACCATGCGCCTTCTACTTCCTCGCGTCTCGATCTGTTCCTGATTCACGATATTTTCTCGTTGCAGCACTGCGGCATAGTCCTAGTTACTCTAGACTCTTTGCTGCTGTACGTGGCCGCAGGATGTCCAGGTAGAAACACATGGGCTTATTTATCTAACTCAAACGCAAAGGTGGTAAAAAAATAAGGAACATTGTGAGACCATTGCTGGAGAAGCCAACACAACAAAACTCCTCGAAGCTATCTCTAGACTGGTGCACCCGCCTTAGTGAAAGCGGAGCTTTCATTATTCTGTACTCAACGGGACTTTCAATAGGATTTGGGCGGATCAAATCCCGGATATAGATTCCCGCCAGGCAAACCGAGCATTCTATACTCTGGGATACGGTAAATTGGTACCGGGTCTGGGAGGATACTACTGACTTGTCAATCGGCTGGCCGCGCAAGTCATTGTAGGTATAGGCCACATCGCGTTCAGTGAGCCACTGCGATTCTGAATGGGAGTAGAATACGTGCCGCACCCCAAAAAGGGACTGACTAATTGCGAATAAATAATCTTTTTCACCCTTTGTTTCCACCATTATTACAATTAAATAGGTTTTATTTCATCTGCACTGAAATTTTTGAAGGTTGAGAACAACGAGGATGCTGCTATCACTGAGGTGCAAGCCGAGGATGACACTGAGCTGGTAGGTAGCGGTTCAGAGATGATCACTGCCTAGTACCTAACATAGCAGCAGTATTTATGCAGTGATTAAGTAAACGATCGTTTTTGCAGTCCATCGCCGAGACGCGCTCTTGCTTTGCGACCGCGGAACTAAAACGAGGGCGTTGATCTGTTCGGCTTCCTGAACCCAAACCCAAGAATCTCAAGGGGCAAGGTAAGTTGTTCTGAGAATGATAAAAGTGTTTCCTGCTAACTGGGATGAACTCTCTGAACTCATTCCGTCTCTAAGCAACCTCTATTTCAGGCCAAAGCAGCCAAGGCTAAACGCAACAACCGCCTCGCTCGCAAACGCCGTGCACACCGTGCACGTCACGTGCGCAACCAGAAACGAGCCTGCCTCGGTCGTCGCGGCGCGCGTGAGAAGACGTTTTGCTAGCGGACTCCGCCGTGCTCATGCCAAACGCCGAAGACATGCGCTCAGAGCTCGCAGAGCTCATGCACGCAAGGCTCGCAAACTTCGTAAGGCACGCAAGGCTCGCAAACTCCGTAAGGCACGCAAGGTTCGCAAAACTCCCCAGTACATGGCACGCCAAGGCGCTCGCAAACTCCGTAAGGCACGCAAGGTTAAAGAAGTGAAGACTAAAGAATCGAAGAAGAAGATCACTGAGAAGAAGAAGGTCACTGAGACCGCCAAGGCAGCAGACCCCACTACCGCCGCTCCATCCACTAAATCCGCTTAATTTATTCGACAACGATCAATAAATATTGTTTGCTCATTGTTGTACCAGAACCTGATCTAGTTTTAGAATGCATTCTCAAATCAAAGAACATATAAGGTCGGGCTTGACGGTATCCCTAGAATCGCTAGGGAAATCAAATTATTAGGTTGAAAAGGAAATCCTCCGACACTTCGATTGAGCATACAGGGGGCCAAAAAAAGTCACTTCAAAGTCAAAAAAGTTTCTTCATTGACTTTCGTGGCGCTATAAGTTACACTTTATAAATTCTAATCGGACATTTCTACCACCATATTAAAGAGCATATTAAATACTATTATAAAACTCCGCCACAGCCTTCTGGACGAGCGCCATCGAGAGATTCTGGCACGCGACCGCGATGTGGTGCCTGAGATCAGCGAGATAGTCGATTTCTCCGCCACCGTAGACCACCCTATTGAACTCCGCCCGAACCGGGTAACTGAGGGGATTCAGGTCAGGTGACCTACTTGGATATTCCATCTTCTTTAGGTACTCAGCCCCCTTCCATTCCAAGTAGGCGAGAGTTTCTCCAACGCCCTTCGATTCCACGTGGTGGCACCCAATGCTGTAGCAGTACAAAGTTTCCAAGAAGGTAGGGCGGCGACATGTGGAGAGGATATTCTTCTTGAGTCGCTCGATGTAACCGCCAGCGCTCAGTCCGGGGTCCACGAAGAAAATATTGGTCTTTCCATTCCAGGTACGTCCGGTCCATACCATCAACCCGCGCCTTGGCGACTGCGGTGAAGATGATGTCCTAGACCGTAGCGACGTTGTCGGAGCTGCTCGATGTTGGAGGTCTTCCATATTGAGAGTACTAGTCTCCAGGTAGCTACCATGGGTGACTCCATACTAGAAGTTTCGCAGCTGTTTGGAGGTGACATGAATTCCAAAGGTCTTCTCCAGTCAGGCTGCGACTGACTCATATTTTGGTGTACATGAAGGTGATGGGCGAGAGCCAGCTCCTGCTTATCGAGGAACATCTTGGGTATCTTCCGCCCTGGTACTCGTATCCACATCTCTCTGGGCTGCAGAAAACTTTGCTGATATGTGACTCGGTCGAAGTGTTTTTTGGCCCGCCCTGTATTACGGCCTTGCAAAAGCTTTTGGAGCTTAACACCATTGAACGCCGCTTTGAATTGTCAGCAATACACACGCATGTGTACTGCCCGCGCATTGGTGTATAGCCTATAAATCACATTTTATGGATCAATTTCTTCCTAGCTAACCATGCGTTTGGAATGATCGTTAAATATATGCTCAAAATGTTTTCCTTATTCTACATTTTCTATGGCTTGCAGTAAGGTATTCATTAAAACTGTTTCATTCACTTTCGAAAAATACCAGTCCATAGAACGGTAATTGTCATGTTGTAAATTATAGAATAGCTTCCATTTCATTGTATGATTGTTCTTCCTGATTGTCATCATAGTCGTCTTCTGAGCTGTCCAAGTCATCTCATTCCTTTTCATCATTGTACTAAAAAAACTACATTGACATCCTCTACTTCGTTCTTTAGATCTGTTAGGTCATCCCATTCAAAAGTGCCGTGACATATAGAGGAATGGCAGAAAAGCAAAGGGGATAGGGAAGCGGGCTACTATACCATTTGGAGGCTAGTACCTTCAGCTGTGTATCTGTGAAATTTGGCGAACCTACCCACAGAGGAAGCTCTCGAGAAATTGAAAAGAAGCCCGAGTGGTGAAAAACAGCGCCCGATTTTCAAATCAGACGTCATAAGAGGGAAGTGCGCTGCTCAAATTCGACCGGCGCCGGACCAGTAGTTGTGTGTAATGGTGTTCTCGAAATACAAGGTGGAAGGTTTGGTTCAGGAGCCCGAAGAAGGAAGAAGGAAAAGTTCGTTGTGGATGGTCCCTTAATGTTCATCCCACACAAGAAAAGAGGGTGGATGAAGTCAAGCGCTGAATCTGATCACAGAGCCTGGACCCTTGTCGAGCTTCCCCGCGAGTCTGACATCCCAGCTGCAACTGCTGCCCGAGTTATGTCCGATAAACTGAGGATGGTCAAGAGGGTGTGCGCATGGGTACCTAATTTTCTTATAGAAGCACGAATGCAGTACCTATTCTGTACCTCTAGCAATTTTATTTTAATTTTCTCAATTAATTAATTAATTTTCTCAGCATGAGATGCCATTCACGACTGTGAAAACACACCCCGGCTATGGGGTGGTCTTGGAGCTCGAGCCCAAAACTCACAATTTTGTTGAATGCAGCATGAGAAAGCCGTCCGATTTCCCATGGGACGTGCACGTGGGCGCAAGTGGATGATCATCATAGCAAAGGATTTCTACACTGAGGCATTTAGCTAGCTCTATACAGAAAATAAAATTTTTCGCTTTCGGTGTATGTTGCCTGTTGCTCGACAATCAGATCGACAAATGGATGATACCACACAACTATATTGTGTGTAACCGCCGGGCGGTCGTGTCCAGCGTTGCTCTCGACCAATTATTAATTCTACCCTAATCTACGTCATATTCGCTGCTGTACTGAGTTCATCTGAGCACTAGGGTGGCACGGTGCGTCAAGAAGGATTTGCCACCGCATCAGGTCGTTTTTATCTAACACTTTTCATTTTTTTATTCAATTGTTGCGACTTTCACGTTGGTCATCGATCCGTTCGGGATTGATCTTGTACTAGCTCGTTTCCTTGTGGCTGGGGAACAATCGTAATCCATTTGATTTTCTTATAGCCACCTGCCTAGGTCCATTGTCTTCAGCAACCAATTTCATTATGAATATAACACCCGTTGGCCTAAGTTCCATTCAGAATCGACCAAGGCCCCACGAAACGTCAATGCATTGATTCGTCTAGGTCACCCGGCTCCCCCGCTGATCTGAATCAACAAGTGGAAAACCTTCTTGCGGATCAGTCAACAACGCCCCAACTGAGGACTATTTTAACATGGTTACTCGAGGACCGAAAACAAATGCGATCTATTTCACTGTTGTGTAAGGAGTTATCTGAGCAGTTGGATAAGCTTAAGCAGGAGAATGCTGATTTGAGAGAGCGTTTATCAAATCTTTTATCTTACGAGGAAGTTGAACGTACTCGTTCTATTGTAATTTCGGGGCTTATTGAAAGCAAAGACCCTATTGCTTCGTCTCGTGTTTTATATGATTATCAGTCGGTTAGAGAAATTATGGACTACCTGTCTATCGATTGTCCTACTGTAGCTGTTTACAGATTGGGACGCTACTTGGAAAGGGCGCCCAAGACTTGTGAAAGTTATTCTTCCAAGCTCTTTCTTTGTGAAATTGATATCGCGGTGGGCCTATCGCTTGAAGCGCTTCAAAATTCCGCGTATTTTTGTCAGGCCTTCCCTCCCTAGGGCGGAGAGGGAAAGGCTGCTATTGGGGGCTACGATATAATTGCGCTTGCCGAAACATGGCTTAACCACAACATCAACTTATCAACACTCCTGGGGAACTGGTCCTCACAGTATGACATGCTCCGGTGTGATCGCTTGAATAGAAAAGGTGGAGGGGTTGCCTTCCTTTTAGGCAAGTATCTCTGTTCCAACTTAGTTTACAGTGAGGCTGTTCCCGATTCCTATGAACTGCTTTGCTGTGACTTTCACACAGGTGTTAAACAAGTTCGTCTTATAGTGAATTTATAGAGCGCCCTCCTGTCCAGTCGTACGCACTCACCAGATGCTTAAAGCTATCAGCGATATAATATCATGTCCCTACACCTGCGTTATTTGCGGTGATTTCAATATGCCCGACATCTTGTGGACCTCTGTTTCTGAGCCTGTTGCGACCGTATCCACGTCCAAGGCATTCTTGGACGTTTGTTCTGCTCATGGGTTATCACAGCACGTCAGTACATATACACATGGCTCTAGAATACTTGATCTTGTTTTATCCAGTGATGATAATTTAGTGAATAACCTACAGGTGGGTCCTCCTATAGGTAACAGTGATCACTCAGCAATCTGTTTCTCTCTCAATCTTTCCTGCGCTAGAGATCTTTTTGCTTATAGAGGGTATATAAAAATGCTAACTTTTGAAGATATTTTGTGCTTATCTTCAGACGATGGATTGGGTCGGGTCCCTTAATAGTGCGGCTACGATTGATGATAAGTATGAGCTCTTTATCTTTATTCTGCGTCATACTATTGAGTCATTCGTTCCCCTGGCTAGGGTCCCACTACAAAGGAAGCATCTTCCTCGGCATCTCCGCTCCCTTCATATCAGGAAATCAGTTGCTTGGAGGCGGGCCTCCACTAGTGGATTGTATGAGGACTGGAAATCGTTCCATTGCTGCCACCTTCGACAAGAAATTACGCAAGTACAATAGATTTATCGAAAGGAAGGTGATTGGGTCTGGTGATAAGCGAGCCTTATATCGTACTCAACGCAAGGCTTTGCGAACGTCCCGGAATGGGTGTCCTCAAAGCTGTCGATGGTAGTATTGTTCGAACGGACTGTGAGAAATCTGAGTTGTTAGCTGATACCTTTGCAAAAGCTTTCAATCCGCCTAGCGCCCTCAACATCCCCTCTTGCTCTGCGTCCTTTCCGACCATGACTGATTCTACTCGCTTCAGTGCGGACGAGATCTACCAACTTCTCATTAAGTGGCCCTCCTCCACCTCTGATACTCCTGACCACGTGCCCTTGTCCTTCATCAAGCCCATCGCTCACATTATTGCTGGTCCTCTTGAGCTTCTGTTTAATCTCAGTTTTATGAGCGCTGTCGTACCCAAGAAATGGAAATTGTCCTTCGTTACACCGATTCTGAAAAAACAGCCATCCTCATGCCCGGAGAACTATCGCCCAGTCAGTATCACTTCTATTTTTGCAAGGCTTTTCGAGAAAATTTTGAAGAAGTCAATTGAAAGGCATCTTGAGCAACACGACATTATCTCACCGAACCAGCATGGTTTCCGAAAAGGTAAATCCACAGTTACGGCCATGTTACAATCACTCAATGATTGGACCTTCAACTTAGAGAAGGGACTTTCGACTGATGTCATTTACCTTGACTTTTGTAAAGCGTTTGATAAGGTACAGCATGCCTCGCTTCTCATGAAGCTTTCGAGTGTCGGCATTCACCCCCATATAGTTGCCTGGATCAGAGAATTCCTCACGGACCGGCAGTTCGTAGTACGATTAGGCTCCACCTTCTCCTCTCCCAGGCATGTTACTAGTGGTGTTCCTCAGGGCGGAGTTCTTTCGCCCATTCTGTTCAACATTTACACCTACGATTTGCTTGCGATAATAAGCTCTGCCGGCGTTAACTGTTGCGGCTTTGCTGATGATTTCAAAATTTATAAGAGTGTGGCCTCCTTGGAGGATAAGGAATCCATTCAATCTGCGGTCGACCTTGCTTTAAGTTGGGCTGCTGAGTGGAGCCTCCCACTATCCAAAGAGAAAACGAAGATTCTGCATATTGGTCACAGAAACCCTGAGTACTCGTACTATATCGATGGACTACTAATTGCATCGGTTCCTCAGGTCAAGGATCTTGGCTTTGTGATAACTACCAATCTGTCCTTTGATAGTCACTGTGAGCTTATAGTCAATCGTGGTTTGAGTGCTACTTACCGATTGTTCAAAGCCCTTACAACTAGTGACTGCTCTACTCTCCTTTTCGCGTATAAAACCTATGTCAGGCCTCTGCTCGAATACGGTACAGTGGTGTTTAGTCCGCACAAGCGGAAGTATATTGACTTGATTGAGAAAGTGCAAAACAGCTTCACAAGAAAACTTATGATCAGAGTAGTGGGCTTTAGTTACAGGGACATCCCCAACCATGTCGAAAGAAACACCAACCTTGGCCTCCGATCACTTTGTTGGAGGAGAAAGAAGCTTGACTTGGTAATGTTCCACAAAATAATCCACGGCCGTACTGGTCTTACTCCTGGATCGTTCTACACTGTGAGATCCTCAGTTACCAGGGGTGGTGCAATCAAATTAGTTAGGCCAGCAGCTAGATTCAATGTTCGCGTTCACTTTTTTGCTGTGCGTGCAAGCGTATTATACTCAACACTGAGCAAAAAGATACCTATTCCCACCAACAGTCACACCTTTAGCAAGCTTATCGATTGCTACCTGGATAAATGATGATGATGGCTTCTCTTACACCTTCTCTTTAAACGGCTCTTCCCTGTTTTATTTTGATAACATTTACACATTTTAGAAACTTTTTTGTGGTATTATTGTTTTTCCCCGTGCGGGACTTTCTCGGATGTTCTGTTTCATTGTTTGTAGGCTGATGTGTAGCCACATGAGTGCTCATGTAATAAATGATGATGATGATGCACTACAAGAAGGCCACCGTTGCTCGTCATAGTGCCAGACCCGTGAAACTGTATTGTAGGGCAGTGCTGGGACACAAACAATACTGAGACCTGGGTTCAATCGCCCCATTCGCCCGACATAAAGCCGAGCGATTCCAATTGTTCTCGTCAGTCGAGAGTACTCTCCGACGGCAAACGCTACAATGTTTTGTCATTCGCCGAAATTGGCATCAACAGCAATTTACTCGCACTTGTTGAAAAATCGAAGGTACCAGAGGTCCAAAGGCTTTCGGGGCACTGGGAGCGGGTCATTGGTGAAGGAGGGATTTACTTAACTTGAAGCCAAAATATTACTTTTTATCTATTCTCCTCTTTGTTTTATTCGAAAAAACCGACGGCACTTTTGAATGGGATGACCTAATAGGTCTCTAGCCTGGACCGAGTTTTACAGCCGACGGTATAACCACCAGTAAATTGGCAGGATCTCTAGGTGCACCTAAGTGCTTCTTCGCGATCACAGTTACGTGGAAAAATTTCTGTTAAGGATGTCGCATGAGTTTCACGAGTCTTACAAGGCTCACGGAACGTCGCAATTGAGTTTCCTCTCCCTTGCACGCAGTGAGAGCACTTCTTGTGAGACCTGGTGGTTGATAAAGCTGGATTCCTTGTGTTAACCATGTACTTATCCTCCACAGTATCTTCTAAACAGAAAAATCTCCTGCTCAGCAAGAAACAGATGTGCATGGAAGAAAGATTTCAGTGTGTTATGGGTGGGAGTTCAAAGCGATGTAGCTGCTAATAGTATAATAACGGCCATATTCTACTCTAATTGACTTCAATACACGAATGACGTCACTCTTGATCTCAATCAGAAACACTCTGTTCCTTTCCTTTCCTCGGCAAGCGAAGACCGCATGTTCCGATTAGGTTGCGCTGAAAGATTATGGATCTCGATCAAGGAATACGACCATACCCAGCTTATTCATCGAACTTAGCAGCCACTATTATGACCTCCTTTGGTCCCTGCTGCACTTTAGAAAGCAAAAATAACAGTCGGAAAAGAGGCACTTTTATCGGAGTTGCCGTAGTCTACAGGAGTGGTATCAGAAGCTATAGAAATGATGGACACTAGTCCTAGAATGGAGATCACCCTGGTTCAGGGGTGTAGCGCAGTTAAGGAAAATTTGACCTGATATTTTGGTCAAAGTGTCGCAGGACTTTTTTCCAACCTAATAGATGACATTTTGTTCGCTGCAGAGCCTCATTAATTAGATCTCTGTACGCCCACAGTGCATTTCGGTGTCGAGGCTGTCATAGGCATTGTTCACAGTCGCCAGGCCCTGACGAAACGGCGGTTGGGAGAAAAGCAATAAATAGTCATCGATCGGAGAATCGCCCAACCGCCCAACCGCCAACCGGTTGGGCGAAAAGCAGTAGATGTGTATCGATTTCGCTGGCGAAAAACGCCACCGCGATGGAGCTAGCGTTTTGTCGAAGGCGAAAAACGTCGCGGTTTGGCGAAACGCCCGTCGATACGTACCAAAACCCTTTCGCCCAACCGCCAGGCTCTTCGCCCAACCGCCAGTCGATATGTATCGAAAGCTTTTCGCCGAACCGCCGCGTTTCAGAGAAACGCTGGACCGCAGAGTGTGAACAATGCCTACTTCGCAAGAGCTGAAGTGAGACCGCACTGGGTTTCCGTCTGATCGGAACCCGTCTCCTTCACGACATCATCTTAATACATATATCTCGAACATGCTCCCCAGTGAATATACAGGGAGGGGGGCGCAAAAAACACAAGTCACATATCAGTAAAGTTTACGCAGCCCAGACAGAAGACGTGGATACGAGTACCAGGGCGGAAGATACCCAAGATGTTCCTCGATAAGCAGGAGCAGGCTCCATCACCTTCATGTACACCAAAATATGAAGTCATCTCCAGTCGCAGCCTGACTGGAGAAGGCCTACGGAATTCACGTCACCTCCAAACAGCTGCGAAACTTCTTGCATGAAATCATTTATGGAGACCGGGGCGTGCGCACAGCTTGTGAGCTACATATTTCAAAAATTCGTAGTTCGGTTCTAGAAGATCCCGGAGAGCGGAAATTGTGGGAAACGATAAGCAGTCAGTTGGCGGATGAAATGAGGGAGTCACACCCGTGATGGGCGAGGCGTGCTATAGGTGGGCGGTGCTCGCTACACAACTTTCAAAAATTCGTAATTCGGTTAGAAGATCCCGGAGAGCGGAAATTGTGGGAAACGATAGGCAAACAGTTGGCGGACGGAATGAATGAAGCACACCCGCGATGGGCAGGGCGTTCGCCGAAGTGAACGGTGCCCTCAAAATACATCCGAAAAACTCCAGGAAATGGGGAGTAAGTGAAAATGAGCAATGGTTGGGCAGATGATGTTAGTAAGGGATAACCGTAGGGAGTATACCAAGTGGTTGGTGCCGTTTATTCTGTGGTTCCTCATCACTGACTGGACCGCTGTATAGAAAATTTTGTTGACTGTCTGCTAGGGGGGGTATATACTAGCAGTGAAACGGCAAAGTGCGGTAATTCTCAAAACAATTTTTTTTCGATCATTCGACCGGCGAAGCACCGGGACCCACTTCACACCCGGAAGCTGGCCCTCCCTCTCATGGAAAACTTCTCGCCGGGACCCACTTCACACCCGGAAGGAGGATCGGCCGGCGAAGCCGGTGCTGCCTCACACGTACTCGTCTCTGTCGTCGTGCTTCTTAACAAACTGGTTTTGGTGCTGGCGCACTTAGTTCTGTATTCGTCGGTCTCATCTAATTTTAATTGTAATGCAAATTTTGAATAAAAATGAGATGTCTTCCTTACATCAAAACGTCAATTTTTTTCAGAACATACGACAGAGACTCAAAAAAATTTAGTTGAGTAGAATTTTATGGAAAAGCAAAGGTGTTGTTGCGTCGACGCTATGTGGATATTGAAAGTTCCATCTGCAGTTGCTAAGTCACTACCAGAGTGGTTAGAGTAACTTCACGCTCACCTCCGATGAAGGTGCTTGCCAGTGCGGGATCACGGGTTAGGTTCAAGTGTAGCACTTTCGACACTCAAACGCGCACCGCGAGGAGACTGGAAGGTAGCTGTACCCCAGTGATACTCCCTGGCGCCTGTCGCGTGGCGCCAAAATACCCTAAATCACCAAAATCGATGAAAAGTTTCGGGCGAAGCGGATGTGATATTCGTGGAGGATGGTCGAAGTACCACCGTAAGCAACTTTTTGGCTAACTTTGCTCTTCTAGGAAAAAAACCGAAAAAAGCGGCTTGATTTTGGCAGACTGGGGTAGCAATAGTTCCGATAGTGCCGAAAAAGGAACACAAACTAGAAAACTAC